TGGGAGGCTGAGGCAGGAGGATCACTTGAGCCCAGGCATTGGAGACTGCAGAGAGCTATGATCACACCTCTGCACTCCAGCGTGGATGACAGAGCAAGATTTTGCCTCTAATAAATAAACAAACAAACAAACAAAATCACCAACTGGACATAGGGGAAATCGCTGGCTTTGGTAAGGCCAAGCTGAAGAAAAGAAAGACTCAGGAGAACATTTGGCCCGCCAGAGACCACTGAGCAGAAGTAGAGTGAAATTTCCTAAGAGCCTGGAGGGTTCCCTACCCCCATCATCCTTGAGCTCGCAGCACTGACGTGGAGGAACAGCCACCACAAGATGGGCCCGAGCCACAAGCTGCATTGTGAACCCAGGTACCCTGCGCCCATGTACTACGTTGGTGTCTGAGGGAACCCCCCCAATCAGACTGCCAAATTCTCCAGTGTGCCCTGGGATATCCTAAAAATTATTTCTATGATTATGAAAAATAAAACACACCTTGTGCACCGCCCCCCCCAAAAAAATTCTAAGGCAGGATGGAAGATGCTTCTAAAAGACAGGGTAATTTTCTCCCCAGATGTTTCCAGACCAGCACCCTCCCCACTTCCAATTTCCAAATCTCACCCTCAACCCCCACCCCATCACATTCTGACTGGCCAGATTGCTTCACAATCATTACTTTTTCTTTTTTAGAGACAGTGTCTTGCTCTGTCACCCAGGCTGGAGTGTAGGGGTATCATTTTGGCTCATTGAAGCCTCAACTCTGCTGGGCTCAAGCAATCCTCTTGCCTCAGCTTCATGAGTAGCTTGGGACTACAGGTGTGCACCATCATGCCTGGCCAATTTGTTTATGTTTTGAAGACATGGGGTCTCCCTATGTTTCCCAGACTGGTCTTGAACTCCTGGGCTCTAGTGATCCTCCCACCTTGGCCTCCCAGAGTGCTGGAATTACAGGAGTGAGTCACAACGCCCAGTGGTCACTGCTTGTTCACATTTAGTGTTCAACAGCATCAAATAAAACCTTGGCGTGCGGCCACCCATCATCGTGAACAACCCTATTCATGCGACTTCTCTGGGCCCTCCACCCCCTTCCCTGATCCGCCCTGCCTCTGCCTTCCAAGGCCACCAAGCAAACATTTGCAAGTCCATCTCTGCAGACCGCAAGTGCTGAGTGATCCTCTGAAATTCTGATAACCAGATGAGGAGGGCCTTTCTCCCCAAGAAACCCCCTAAACTCCTCAGAGACCCCTTCTAATCTGGTCATCAGATGTTTTTGAAAACCAGTGCAGAGCCTGGGGAAGGCATCCATGGAACTATGTGAAAATGATCTCCCTGCTTTGGGACCTTACCCACCAGGATTCCGTTAACTTCCTTTGTTGTCCAAGAATGTAAGTAGGAATCCCTCCAGGAGACAGGAGGGGTGATTCCAGTGAAGAAGAGAATGAAAGCTTTTAGACATGGTCCCTCTGTGCCAAGAACAGCTTTGGAGGCTTACAAGGGCTCACAGGACCATCAAAGGGAGCCGGCGCTGATACCTGTTTGTTGACTCGGTGAAAATACTCTATCTCAGGGTTATTGCCATTGAAAACATCTCCTCTATCTGGAATCTTTTCTACACCAAGCATACAATTGCTGCATTCATCTCTTGGGAGGAATCTGTCACCAAATCCATAAGCTGCCTCTGCCAGCAGGCAGGGCAGGATACCAACTTGCCCGACCTCCGCCCACTGGGATGAGCCAGGATGGAGTTCCTGTGTTAGTAAAGCCCCAGATGTCTCTCCTACCCCTGTGACTGCACCCTCTTCCTCCCCCACCCCACCCCTCCCCTCTCACCCTCATAATCAAGGCAAGAGGAGAGGGGTGGAAGCAGAAATTTTCACCTCAATCAATGTTTGGGGACATTTACATAGACATAGGATGTGCTACTATACCCAAGCAAAGGAAAACTAGGCTGGGTGCAGTGGCTCACACTTGTAATCCCAGCACTTTGGGAGGCCAAGGCAGCAAGGCAGGAAAATCCCTTGAGTCCAGGAGTTCAAGACTGGCATGGGTAACAGAGTGAGACCTCACCTCTACAAAAAATAAAAACTAGCCAGGCATGGTGGTGCACACCTGCAGTCCTAGCTACTCAGGAGGCCGAGGCAGGAGGATCAATTGAGCCCAGGAGTTGGAGGCTACAGTGAGCTATGATTGTGCCATTGCATTCCAGCCTGGGCAACTGAGTGAATGATGCAATCCCAGCACTTTAGGAGGCTGAGGTGAGCGGATCACCTGAGGTCAGGAGTTCAGGACCAGCCTGGCCAACCTGGTGAAACCCCACCTCCACTAAAAATATAAAAATTAGCCAGGTGTGGTGGCACTCGCCTGTAATCCCAGCAACTTGGGAGGCTGAGACAGGAGAATTGCTTGAACCTGGGAGGCAGAGATTGCAGTGAGCTGAGATTGCGCCACTGCACTACAGCCTGGGCGACAGAGCAAGACTCAGTCTCTAATAATAATAATAATAACAATAATAGGAAGGAAGGAAGGAAGGAAGGAAGGAAACTCGCCTTGTACCATGCCCTCTATATGCCAGACATATGCTATGTCACATAATCTGATAGTAACACACTGAGGCTGGTGTTTCATGGAGGAGAAAATTGTCCAAGGTCACAGTGGCAAAAGTGAGACTTGAACCTAAGTCCCACCAGATGATGGCAAGAATGTGGGCAAACCACTAAGATGCTGAGCTTCGGGCCACCTGTCTCCACACTGGGAATCGCAATAGCACCTCACTGACCCACCTCCTAGCCCTGTGCGGAGGGAAGACAATTGCAAATGCAAAGCTAATTCACTAGTGTCAGTGGGCTGGGAGCACTTGAGAACAGGGAGATCCTCCACTGTACCACAGTGTGCCCAGCACCCAGATCCACTCTGGGGCGTTGTCGGCCCTCTACCGAGTATCAGCCCTCTACTGGAGTGGAGTGAAGCCATGCCCACACTGTGTCCCATGGAAAGCAGAGGAGAACTCTTCTCATGGTGTGGATGGAAGGAGTGGGGGCAA